TGTGTACGTAGATATTTATCTAATTGTTCACGTGCAGTTTTATACTATCCATTTCGAATTGAATTTAAGATTAACTCTTGAAACATAAGTAAAAAAATTGTTTGCTTTAACAAATCGCTCAGCATCAAAATGATATAAAGGATGATTTTTTGTGTTTCATGATCATTATCAACATTATCATTAGATTTTTCTATCATATCAATAGCAGCGACATGTTTTGACCATTGTTCAGGGTGTGGGTGTGGATATTCTTTTCATATATACCCACACCCACACCCTCAAGATCCTCATCTGCTGTACACGCTACAATCCTGTCTGAGTTGTTTCACCTTAGGCTATTGTCTTATTTTATGCATTTGTATACAGCATGATCGTTAACATGTGTATACTACGAAGATGATCACAGATATCTTCAGTACCATTAAAAGACGATCGGAGCATGATGGTGGAGCAGTTATAAATAGTATAGCGTGATCATGCGGAAGGAGAATGACAAGAAGTAACGGCCCGAATAACAGCTGAGGACCGAGAGCTATGCGTCTGTCGAACTGTGTTGTATTGCTTTACCAACGAAATAACTTACGAGGGAAAATTCCCAACTGTCCAATCGCTTTTCGCTTGGTTCTATTGCCATTCGAACAGCCTTAGTGAGTAGTGAAAAAGCCTATTTTGGTTTGATTTTCTGATCTTCTGTTATCGACTTATGGACATTTTACTGGATTTGTGGCCTATGGACATGAGATTCCATAAGAACCTGAATGATTGAATTTCGAGCTGAAATTTTGTGCATAGACAGCTCTCATAGGCATTAGAAAATTTCCAAAGTTTGAGCCAGAACGAATGCATCGTTATCGAGATACTTAGATTTTAAAAAAAGTCTCTTTGCGACTATGTTTCAAAACAGGGATATTTTCGACACAAGCTAATATCTTGGTAAGGGTATGTTTGTCCTGGTTCAAACTTTGAGAATTTTCTAATGACTATGAGAGCTGTCTATGTACAAAATTTCAGCTCGAAATTCAATCATTCAGGTTCTTATGGAATCTCATGTCCATAGGCCAAAGATCCAGTAAATTAATGTCCATAAGTCAATAATAGAAGATCAGAAAATCAAACCAAAATAGGCTTTTTCACTACTCACTAAGGCTGATCGAATGGCAATAGAACCAAGCGAAAAGCGATTGGACAGTTGAGGATGTTCCCTCGTGAGCGATGAAAATGAATAAATTTGTAAAACTCGTAAAGAACTGTAAAATACACTAAATGACATGTAATTTAATATGAGAAACAAGTGAAATATGAAGTAAAACATGGCTTTTACCTTGAAAGACTATTCTACACAAAAAAAAAGTACATAAATTGAGTCTACTTTTCTATTCAAGTAATCGTTCAGTGATTCTGAGAATAAAACGACAGTTACAATTTTCTCTTCCTTTTATTTGAAAAGGATGAAAATTTCAAAATGTCACCATCCACGTGAAAGGGTTTTCTAGAGAGAATATGACTGTACATGTAATATCTATATGAAGCAAGAGAAAGCAGCATTCGTATTCACACACACAGATACAATCTCACAAGTACAAGCACATCTATAGCCACACCTGCATCAATATTTTCACTTCTATAACAAACAGCTTGATAGACAATTAGACAGGTTTTTTTTGTAACTTTCTATTTAAAACTGAAAGAAAGTGAACGTTTTCATATTTATATTGTTGCGTACTGCTCTGGACAGTCTTTTTGTAACTTTTTAATTTTTTCCAGAATAACTCTTCGATGTTCTGCATTTTCGACTCCATACTTCCTAAGTCCTTCATCATCAACTTGATTTAAAAGCCAATACCCATCTATGCTGAGTGTCTTGAAATAACTTATGTAAACCGTATACTCATCGCCTAATGATCGAAGCCACTCACACACATCATCGCAAGTATTCAAGTTCTTCAGAAAATAAAGTCCTAAAAAAAAAAAAGAACTAATTGTAACAAATTGCTAAATATCTTCTTTCCAAAGTCTATTTCAAGTCGAAGCATAGAAGTTCTTCGAGGGACATAACAAAGGAAAAACAGAAGAGGAGAATAGCATGGGACAATACAAGTACTGGGTATGCTCCTACTTCTTTCAGTGAAAATTTTCTCGATTCTATATAGTTAGAAAGCTAAAGTTCTTACGTTGAGATTGACTTTCGAGATCTTGGCGTTCTGCTGACTTTACACGAATAGTTCCAGAGTGTGGATGTGGATCGAGTTTCAAAGTGTCAGATATGTTGAGCCAAGAACGACTTCGAGATCGAGAATCTATCAGAGAGTGTGTGGGTGGTCCAAGCATTGAGTTGCATCCCAATCGTGCATCTAATTCTTTTGTTAATGAGTGCAATCCATAGTTTCTACTATTTTCTAACGCGGACAATTCATTTAGATTTGTATTCGATGTAAAAGGTGACTTATCAACAATCACAGAAGCTATCTCTGAAGTTTTTGATCCATCTGGTGACCAATTCGTTCCTTCATAAACGATCCACTTGCTCAAGCATTGAATAAAGTTTTTAGCGTATACTTCTTTTTTCCATTCTTCGGGTAGATTTTCATAACCATAATGAGCACCAGCTAATTGACCATAGATGGCTGCTGTTGTATCAGCATCATCACCAAGATTTACAGCTGCTAGAACACCATTTCGGAAAGAACCATTATCAGACCAAAAAGCCCATAAAGCAGCTTCGAGAGCATTGACAATATATCCTATACCTCGAATGCCTTTATCATATCCACCTTTCTGGTAAGAACCTTGAGCTATTTTTTCAATGTCTGGATGAAGGGATTTATTACCGAACCATTTTTTATGCTTTTCGTAAAAGTTTTTGTCAACTAGTTCCTCTTTTGTTGCTCCATTGACAGCAGCCACGATTAAAGCACCATAATAACGACAGGCATCATAGGCTTTTTCATCACCATGAGTAACCAATCCACTACGTCCTGAATACTGAACAGCACGAGTGGGACGTTTATAAAAGAATAGTGGCACAGGTGCAAGTCGCATTAAAGCTCCATTACCAGCCACACCTTCTTCACTACAATTCACATCGAATTTCTTCAAGAGAACATGATCTGAAAGAAAATCTATTTGATTAAGAGGGATTTGATGCTTTACGGCGAATTCTCTTTGGCGACGTTCAAATATACACAGTGATCGTTTGGTGGCGGTACCAATATCGAAACATCTTCCTGTAGAAGACATATATCCATCTCTGTACCACCATTTGTAACGAACTAGTTGATCATAAGGCACATAACCTTGACGAGCTACCAATGAATTTGCAAGACAAAGAGCCATAGATGTATCGTCGGTGAACTAAAACAGTCATATATTATACCATAAATCTGAAAGACAATACTTTGCAGTTGATAGTTCTGTATTTTTTTTGAATATTCATAAGTCTGTTTCACTTTTCACTAATAGTCATTCCCTTATCCGTTGACAATTTGGAAATTAATTTCTTCTTAGAAATTTTCTTTGCATATGGTTCAGTACAATGTTATATCTAATTTATTATCCCTATTCAAACACTCATAGTAATTTTTCACTATTACACGAACGCTTGACATCAAGTTCCTACATTCAATGCCTGATCAATATACTGTACTATTGACATGAAACAACCACTTTCTGTTATTACGCTAACATACAAAAAGAACACTCTAAATTTTTTCTTAGTATGAAAATAGTTTTACAGGATAAATAAAAAATGAGAGATGCAAGAAAGATCTCCTGCTTTTTTCATGAATAGCGTTTCTCAAATTGCTATATCCACTTCCTGTCCACGCATTTAGCACAGAACTCATGATTTAGTCTTGATCTGAACTTTCTCAAATGTTAATCGAAGAAAAGAGAAAAAAATTGATATGAGTATAATATTACCTGTCCTTTTTCGAGACCCCAAGTTCCACCCCCTTTGAGATCGACCACTGGGTTTTCGACGAGGTATTGTCGTGGTCGAAATTCGACATGAGCACCAAGAGCATCACCCAATGCCATTCCAATCATCGAACCATGAATGCGATCCAGCATAGCTTCATCGATAGGGCTAGGAGGATCTTTCATATCTTTTTCGAGTTCATGTGGTCTTTTAATCGTTTCATTCCGGTTGCACTGATTATCGAGCCATGGTTTGTCTAAAGATATACATGTGTATACAATGAGCTACATACTTCACGTGTCCAGTAGAAAATTTTTTCCAGCATTAACATGAAAGATTTCATTTTCTTTTTCGCTTAGGAGATCTCCATATCTTACCTGTTTTAAATTGACATGCAGGATGTCTTTGTGTTTGTGCAGGGGTTTCTAAAAGGTAACTAGATAAAATTAGCATTATAACAATGACAACTATTAAATTGAAATCATCGATTGATCAAGACAGAAAAAAAAGAAGTATGAAAAAATGATATATACTTATATTGCGGATGAGTATTGATGAGTTTGATCTTGTCATAATTTGAAGTTTTCTACGGTTCTAATCTTATCATCACTAGTGCCAAAAATAACATAAACATGAAGGGGAAGTTTATTTTTCTCTGTTTTTTACCACTAGGAGTCTCAGTTTACTTTGTGAATTTGCAAAAAGTCTCTCGGAACTTCTAAGAACAACTCTATATACGATTCGCTACAATCACAATGAAAAACTCAATTAGCATCCAAGTAAAATATAGAGGTGGATGTCTATGGTATTTCATGGTAAAGTTTCTTTCACATACATGTAAATGAAAAAAAAAGTTTTTATTCGGCAATAAATTCGAATCCTGGCTCATATGCAACGTTGATGAAAAAAAAACCTATTACCTTTGGATTTTTTATGTCGATGCATCGTGATTATAAAAAAGCGTGTAGATTATGTTTAGAGAAAGAATGTTTTATACTCTATATTTATAACGAGTATGCAGTCGAACTATGCTGTCTCTCTCCTTTTCTTTTCCTTGCTTTGCACGACAGAACGAACGTGTATTAAGAAACGAGCATCTTCAAACGAAGTAAAGAAAAAAACAGATATAAAAAAAATACAAATATTATACACTTATGTTGTTTTGAAGAAGGACGATAAAATGCTTCACTTGCCACCTTTACATAAATAAAAAGTGAGAGAAAATAGAGAAGAACAAACAAAAACAGTTTCTTTCTTACTATTCTATGAAGTTATTTTAAAGAATACAGAAGTATCAATAAGATCACTATCGCATATATAAAAAAAAACAACTATATTTTACTAGTATCTTCAAATTTTCTATGAAAATATATAAGTTTCGAATATTTTACAACTATAGTTTTGACTTATCAAAATATCTTTTCTTATTGCGGCTTGTCCAAGCGTGAAGGAATCACGTTTTTTTCCTCGTGTCTTTGTAATATCTAAACGAAATGAAATAGGATAAGGCTTAAAATATTCACAGGCTATGTAAGTTGAGTTCCTCTACGCATGCTGAAAGTTTCATAGGATTTCAAGTTTTAGTGTTTGTTTTATGACTGACACATAGGTACGTTACGGAATCACACAAAATGGACTTTGATTTTGAGTGCTGTTCAAAGAGTAAAAAAACTTAGCTCAACTATAAATGTAGTGGCAAAACTCTCTCTACAAGAGTTGCAGCTAAGATGCCTAGCTATATAAAAAAACAAAAAAAAAATTGCAAAATATGCATTGCTGATTTTCTGTGCAGAAAAAGGTGTCGTGACGGAATCACATTTTTCGTGACGGAATCACGTTTGAGAAATGATCATGTTTTCTATCTTTCATTTTCTTTAAAAATTTAAAGATAGTTTCTTAGAATAAACAATCTGTTGTCATACGTTTAAAATCAATGAAGAAAAATTTTCGGTCACGATTGTTATAGCATACAAATCCTTTTTTTTTGAAAACGTCAAAATATGTTAGATATAGCCATCTAACGAGGGAAGGTTTTCAACTGTCAAATTGCTTTGAGTCCAGATTCTATGCATAAAATAGACTCTAATGAGATATGAAAAACTCCAAATGAATAAGTCCTCTTAGACCTTCTGTCCGGAGTTATAGGCATTTTACTGGAATTTCGCCTATCGCATGATATACACCAACAAATCGAATGACGGTGTTTCGATCTAAGATTTTGCCCATAGACAGATCTATTGGTCAGTAGAATGTTCTGAAGATTTCAGCTCAAAAGAATGTTTTCTCAAAACATCAAGATCTCAAAAATCATCCATAGCTTACAAATGATGCTAGAATTTTCCGTTTTTTTGAAACTTTAATATTTCGAGAAGAAAACATTCTTTTGAGCTGAAATCTTCAGAACATTCTACTGACCAATAGATCTGTCTATGGGCAAAATCTTAGATCGAAACACCGTCATTCGATTTGTTGGTGTATATCATGCGATAGGCGAAATTCCAGTAAAATGCCTATAACTCCGGACAGAAGGTCTAAGAGGACTTATTCATTTGGAGTTTTTCATATCTCATTAGAGTCTATTTTATGCATAGAATCCGGACTCAAAAGCAACTTGACCGTTGAAAATATTTCCTCGTGAGTTAATCCAAATGTTGCTGGATACCTATATTACAATGTCTGTATCTCCATAATTATTCATTCATTTGAGCTGATATTTTTAGTTTCTACCTAACTTTTCTAGGTCTATCTACTATGAAAATATCAGGCAAACTCATGGGAACGATTCAGCAAAGTTGTGCTAGGACCGGTCACTATTTACGCTAATGTCCTTCAAATCACTTATATGATAGAAAATACATGGAATCACTATAAAGCATCTATTAAATTAGCTAATCGGGCTCTAACATTGCTTCTACACATTCTCATATCTGCTCAGCATCATAACTGCAGAAAAAGATAATATTTCAAAGTTTTGTGGGAAAACTTAATCATTCGATGGTGATTCCGTCACGGCTCTCTTCAGCTGCCAAAATGCTTATAAGAACACTCAATTCGTTGGTTGGATAGAGCGTAAAAACTGTATTTAGAGCACTGCTTTTTGAAGTAAAAAAACAATTACTCTTGGCTAGAAATGAATTATAAGGAATTTTCGTGATGGAATCACCTTCACCAATGGATTACATTTACAAACGTAAATAAATTTCTAAAGAAACGCAGAATGATAGATCCCTTATCATCATTGTACAGAGCTTTGAAAACATTATTAATTGATGTGAGAGCTTTCGAAAAGGACAGATTTATATATATGAAAAACTCGAAAATAAGAAATCATAATAAATATTGATTTTTATCTCTTGCACGACACCTCGCTTTCCTAGTGCTTTTTATTCCCAGAATTAGCATAAATATGTAAAGAAATATGTATTTCTATATGTTATCGGTATCGTTCTACACGATGGTCATATTGGTTTTGGCAGATTGAGTAGGTCAACTTCGCCCACCAAGGTATACCGTTACGTGGACAGGCCGATTGCTACTTAAAAGGTTTTTCACAGATAATTTACGGATTTTTGACTTCATGTTTATTGTGGATTTATTCGATGAACACAAATTCAACGAGATATTCCTTACCAGCAATCAGTGAACAAACTTCAAGGAGTAAAGAATTTGTTTGTAAGATAGAGATAGCAAATTCTTGGAGGATTCTGACTGTTTGAGAGATCAATTAATGTATTCAAAGAATTCTCATGTTGTCGTTAAAGTTGAAGACATCATTGAAGAATTTGAAAAAGATAATAATACTGAGTATCAAGATATTCTGATTAGGAGAGTCAGTAAGGCTTGTCTCTTTACTAACATATATATCCATACACACAACTCTCAGAAATCTTTTTTTGTCAGTGGTTCATGAAGACAAAATTTGGACATTACCATTAATGACCACAAATTGGACAATGGATTCGATCTGCTTGTCTGTCCGTACTGTCTCCATATAATGAAAACCAACAGTTTCCGCTATCTTGCGTATCTGATCATAAAAGTGTAAATGAGTGAAAGTGAACAGAAGGTCTATATCTAAGCTCATTTTCAAGAATGGCATCATTCAATGCTAGGAAGAAGTAGCTTTGAAAAAGAATAACTCAGAGTAATAAGGATATTAAAGAGATTAGAAAACGGTAAAGACCAAGCGGTGTCATTTCAAGTTAATCATAAACTTTTCATTCGTTATCATATTTGTTTCTAAAGAATTATTGAACAATCACGTATACTCTTGAAAAGTAACCCAGGTTAAAAAATCCAAAACAGTATTAATGACTTTTCTCGTTGAGAATGTTGTTGATTAGTTTGAAAAATTGAAGATTTCTAGTATCAGCCACCAATGTACTGAAATCAAGTTTATTCTGCATAGAAACGAAAGCTAAGTGTACTGAAGGTGAAGTATAAACAAGACTGTCAGTAAGACCTAATAATGAAAAGGATTATATTAGCTCACACAGCATTGACATCATCATCAAACCATTGCTGTTAATGACCGATGACACTTGAATCAGCAATAATAGTTCAGTTTTCTATACAAGAACTAATACTTATGTGTTTTACGTCGATTTAATCAAGGAAAATATGTTGAATGTATTTTTTGAAAGTCTTCTAAAGTGAATAAGAAATATTAGTAAAATGAAGTATCCCGTGAGACTTCACTATGATGACCGGGTGTAGGTGAGTATAGATGGATTTGTAATGGGGTAAGTGTGATAAGTACGTTAACAAAGGTCTTAGGAAACTAACATCCACATCCCAAGCATCAAGCTAATTCCAGATACTCATGAATGTTGCTTTCTGATTGGTTGGACATACATAGTGTCTAGCATTTTGTTCACCAGGAGTTTTCTTTCACAAACGAGGAAAATTCTTTGTTTTGTCTGTCGAGATTTCTTATCATTCGCTAGGAAGCATTTCGATGGTTTTTGTTCGAATCCTCAATCTAACCTATGTCATTAGAACTTTTTGTTTGCGTAATCGTTAGTTTCTTGGAAGAAAAGTTGTGACGGTTATTTCTGATATTTTTCATCGTTTATCCGTGTAGTTTTATTATTTGATCTGGAACTTCAGCTTTTTCACATTTATTCGAGAGACAAGAGATAAAATACAATAAAGTAATATCAAAACATCAAAAGTGGATTGTTGTCCGCTAGTAGACCTAGTAACCTATCCATCATACGGTTCATTTGTCATAACTAAAAATGATGTTATTTATATATTCATAAAGCTGATAATCCTAATCATTGAAAAGTACATGCACGGAAGAAAAGGAATACTGCCTTAGAGAGAGATACCAATTACTAGGTCGAAAACGTTCCATTCAAACGAAGAAATCTATTTAGAATATTCATAACCATGATCAATCTTAGTGTATTATTGTATTTGCTTTTATGTGTTCTTGTGGACAGAGCCAAATTTCTAAACGTGCTTTCTTCATAATGTTAAACGGTTCGTTGTCATCTTGGAACAATACTTTTATACAATATCAATAAATGTGAATTTTTTTAGACGTATACTAGGAGTGATGTAATACTGATATAAAATAACGCAAATTACGATTCACGAATCAAATCTATCTATTCAGCGTGTGTTCTTATAGATATAGATAAGAATGAAGAGGCGGCTCATAACTAGTATTATCAAACAATTTTTGAACTCTATGTTTGATATGTCCAGTCTTATTCACAAAAAATGATTGTTTGTATTAGTAAGATAGCATTTTTTTTCTAGATCGGGTGCCGAATATCTTACGATCCTCTTTGGCACTATTCATAATAAACGATCGATCAAAAAATCACTTTTGATCTCTGAAGTTTCATGTGTGTTTGCCTATGAGTTTGTTAAATAAAATTTTTCAAGAATTACTTAGCTAAATTGTAAACTTTATTTGCCAAAGTATTATAATTCAGATCTTTTTCTTTTCGTATGTGACTCTTGCATATTGACGTTGTACTTAGAACATTACTTGATTTTCACCAAAATTGATCTCTAACATTTGCAAATTGTGAAATTACAATTTAATTTTTTCACAAACACAAAAACATAGAGTTAAAGCTTGTTTTCTCTTTACAACAGACTAAAGAAAAAAATTCTTTATTAGCATCTATTTGCGACGTTATTGATGATGAATAATTTTAAAACCGTAGATGAAGCAAAAAAATATTTTAACTAAACAAATCCATCGCTTGTAAATCCTTATTTATTAGATGATATTGCACACTGGAATATAATGATGGAGCAAATGAACAAGTGGAAGGAATGTACAAGAATATTTCGAGCTACTCAAAATTAGAACACAGATCCACATTTTTTGAACAATTTTAGTGTCACCTTTTTCTTCTCTCACTGTACTAAAATCAGTGTTTTTTGACACAGAAGCATCTTACAAAATGAATGGTCTGAGTTTGAGTGGAGTGGCTGGAAATCCGAGACACATCTAGAGTGTGGATATGAGGCGTGGATGCCGATGGAGTAAGACAAGACTCACATCCACACCCTTCTTTTCAACTTCCACCTAAATCGAATGGCTCTCGTATATTTTGTTCTCCTCAAGACCAGCTTGTCGTTTCCAAGATCTGAACGTCTTATAATAAAATAAAACGAATTTTCTATAACAGTGATCAAGACAAGGACTCTTTGCATTTATTTCCTAATCTCTAACAAGTTTTATAAAAAAAAAACAATGTGATTGGAAGCTTTCACTTTCTATCGCCAATATGACTAAATGCCTGCCGAAATAAAAATATACCAAAAATTAAGAGTTCATTTTGAAAAAAAAAACTCCACAAAAAGCTGCATCAATTCATGCTAAAATATCAAGCAACCTTTTGGCAATAATTTATGAAGAGATCGCCAAAAGGCAATTTAGTCTTTAGAAACCCATAGAGTAGTATTGGTTTTAGCTAATAAAGGTCTATGTCGCCTATAATAAATTATAACTTTTTGATTTCACCACTCGAAAAGACCTCAAACATCTTGATAAAACTTCGTGAAGACTATTAGCTTCTTCTAACTCGCCCATGGAACTCTGAGTAAGTCACATTTCCAGCACACTGATAAAAACATAGTCATTTGAGTTTGAATTTAATAACCTAAGCTTGTTGTGACCGTATCTAAGCGATGAATATAAATAATATCTTAGAGCTCAGGAAGAACTGTAATATCCACTATTTGACATTTAGTCTAGTATGAGAAAAGGGTAAAATGTGAAGTAGAACAGGGCTTTTACCTTGAAAGACTATCATACATTGTAAAAACATAAGATTTGAGTCTAATTTTCTATTCAACTCATCGTTTAATGATGCTAAGAATTAGATCAGAGTTATTTTTTTCCTTCTTGTTTATTGAAACGGTAAAAAGTTCAAAACATCACTGTCTATAAGAAAAGGATTCTAGAGCGAATACAAATGTGCATCTAATGTCTATGTGAAGCAAAAGAAGACAGCATCCGCATTCATACACACAGAAGCAAACCCACATTTGCATCCTCACTCACATCAATATTCTCACTTCTATAACAAACAGCTTCATAGTCAATTAAACAGTTTTTTTGTTAGCATTCATCGAAAACTGAAAGAAAGTGAAAGTTTCTCATGTTTGCATTGTTGCATAATGCTCTGGACATTTTGCTTGTAACTTCTTAATATTATCAAGAATAGATCGTCGATGTTCTGCATTTTTGACTCCATAATTCTCTAATTTTTCATCGTCAACATAATTCAGTAGCCAATACCCGTCGATGCCATGTTGCTCGAAAGGCTCCATATAAACCTTGTACTCTTTGCCCAACGATGGAAGCCACTTACCCACATCATTGGGAGTATCTAAGCTCTCCAGGAGATAAATTCCTATAAGAAAGTAACTGTGAGTGATGACTGAATATGTTCTTTTGAAGGTCTATTTCAAGTGAAAGCATGGAATTGCTTTGAGGGGCATGAACAAAGAGAAACGGAATGGAGGAGAATTTGGATACAGCGCATTGCTACTTTCGAAAATTCCCCACGTCCTAGGCTACACTAATCTCTCTTCCAGTGAAACTTTTCTTCATCCTAATATATAGTTACAAATCTGAAGTTCTTACGGTGAGATGAAGGTCTGGTATTCTGGTGTTGCACTGAATTTTGACGCTGAGCTTCAGACGTTTTGGAAAAATTAGAATTTTGTAGTCGATGGCCTGTTGCGGGGTCAATGGATTGTTCGAGCTTAGTGGTGCATGCTGCTTGTGAATCTGATTGTTTTGTTGATAATTGCGGTTGATAGTTAGTGTTTCTTTCTTGCACAGATGGCTCATTTAAAGTTGTCTTCGGTTGATTGAATGGAACATTAATAGTCGCAGAAGCTATCTCTGAAGTTTTTGATCCATCTGGTGACCAATTCGCTCCTTCATAAACGATCCACTTGCTCAAACATTGAATAAATTTTTTAGCGTATACTTCTTTTTTCCATTCTTCGGGTAGATTTTTATAACCATAATGAGCACCAGCTAATTGACCATAGATGGCTGCAGTTGTATCAGTATCATCGCCAAGATTTACAGCTGCTAGAACACCATCTCGGAAAGAACCATTATCAGACCAAAAAGCCCACAAAGCAGCTTCGAGAGAATCGACGATGTATCCTTTACCTCGGATACCTTTATCATATCCACCTTTCTGGTAAGAACCTTGAGCTATTTTTTCAATGTCTGGATGAAGCGATCTATTACCGAACCATTTTTTATTCTTCTCGTAAAATTTTTTGTCAACTAGTTCCTCTTTTGTTGCTCCATTGACAGCAGCCACGATTAAAGCACCATAATAACGACAGGCATCATAGGCTTTTTCATCACCATGAGTAATCAATCCACTAAGTCCTGAATATTCGACAGCATGAGCGGGATCTTTATAAAAGAATAGTGGCACAGGTGCAAGTCGCATTAAAGCTCCATTACCAGCCACACCTTCTTCACTACAATTCACATTGAATTCCTTCAAGAGATCAGGGTCTGAAAGAAAATCTAATCGATTAAGAGGAATTCTATGGGTTTTGGCGAATTCTCTTTGGCGACGTTCAAATTCCCTCAGTGACTGCTGTGTGGCGGCACCAATATCAAAACATCTTCCTGTAGAAGACATATATCCATCTCTGTACCACCATTTGTAACGAACTAGTTGATCATAAGGCACATAACCTTGACGAGCTACCAATGAATTTGCAAGACAAAGAGCCATAGATGTATCGTCGGTGAACTAAAACAATTTTATCTTACAGTTCCATTGTTCAATCAGTGATCTCTCCCAAACGAATTTCTGACATGACGACCTGAAGCAAATGCACTCTTGCTTATATACTAGAGAATGATAAGCAATGTGCTGATCATTCAATATGTTCAAATGAATGTGTCTCTTCCGGATGGAACTTTTGAGACATGTTAAATAGCATAAAAACTGTTGTAAAAAATCACCGATTATACTTCTTCGGTCATCTTTTTGTATAAAAACTCAATTGAATTCATCGCTCTCTTTTTCTGCCCCACCTACAGCTATTCTCTTGTTCGTTGACAATTTGAGAATTAATTTCTTCTTAGAAAATTTCTTTGAATATGTTTCGGTACAATGTTACATCTCGTTTTTTGTTCACAGTCAAAAAATCATGCTGGTTATTACTATCGTACGAACGCCTAGCATCAAGTTCCTATATTTAATGCCTGATCAATATATTGTACTATTGACATGAAACAACCACTTTCTGTTGTTGTAGTGACATATAAACAAGAACGTCTTAGATTCCTTTTTATTATGAAAATAGTTTTACTGGATAAATAAAAAATGAGAGATGCAAGAAAGATCTCCTCCATTTTTCATGAGCAGCGTTTCTCTAATTGGCATATTCGCTACCTGTTCTAGCATTTAGCAAAGAACTCATGATTTAGTCTTGGTCTGAACTTTCTCAAATGTTAATCGAAGAAAAGAGAAAAAAATTGATATGAGTAGAATATTACCTGTCCTTTTTCGAGACCCCAAGTTCCACCCCCTTTGAGGTCGACCACTGGATTTTTGACGAGGTATTGTCGTGGTCGAAATTCGACATGAGCACCAAGAGCATCACCCAATGCCATTCCAATCATCGACCCATGAATACGATCCAGTATAGCTTCATCGATAGGGCTAGGAGGATCTTTCATCTCGTTTTGGAGTTCATCAAGTCTCTTGATCGTTTCATCCCGATTAGACTGATGATCGAGCCATGGTTTGTCTAAAGACATACATATGTATAGAATGAGCTACCTACTTCAAGTATTCCGTGGAAGACTTCTTTTTTAACCATTAACATGAAAGATTTCATTTTCTTTTTCGTTTAGGAGATCTTCATATCTTACCTGTTTTAAATTGACATGCAGGATGTCTTTGTGTTTGTTCTGGAGCTCCTAAAAGATAACTAGATGAAATTATCGTCATAACAATGACAACTATTAAATTGGGATTGTTGATTCGACAAGACAGAAAAAGAAAGAAGTACGAAAAAATGATACATATTTATATTGTGTAAGAATATTGATGAGTACGATCGTGTCATAATTTGAAGTTTTCTATGCTCCTGATCTTATCATCACTAGTGGGAAAAAGTAATAAAATGTCAATGAGAAGTGTTTTTTCTCCTTTTTCTTTTGGTTAGGAATCGTAGTCCATCTTCGTGAACTTTCAAAAAATCTCTCGAAAGTATCAAGAAAAACTTAATATAAAACCTACAACGACCTTTATGAAAAAAATGAATTAGTATCCAAGTAAAACAAAGATGGATGTTTGTTCTATTCCATGGCACCGCTTTGTTTCACATATATATATGAAAAGCTACGTTTTTAGTCGAAAATAAATTCGAATTCTGGCTCATATGCAACGTTGATGAAAAAAATACTGCTACCGGTTGATTGTTTTTGTTGGTTCGTCGACATTATAAAAGAAGCTTGTTGACTATATTGACTGAAGCAAAGTTTTGCGTCGTGCGTTTGTGAAGAGAATGCAATTGAATTACGTCTCGTTCTATGATTTTATTCTCTCTCTTGTTGTGCAAGACGTATCGAAGAAAAAGTCAAAATAAGCGTCGTCAAAGTAAAAAAAAACTGGTATAAAAAGAGAAATACGAACATCATACACTAATGTTGTTTTGACAAGGAACGAAAAAAAAACCTCACCTGCTACCATTCCGCGATAAAAAGGTGAGAGAAAGTAGAAAAAAAACTGTTTCTTGCTCATTGCTCTATCAAATCATTGCAAAAAATAGAGAAACATCAATAAGATCGCTATCACACATATAAAAATAACAGCTACCGTTTACTAATGTCTTCGAATTTATAAAAGGTTTTTCACAGATGATTTAATGACTTTTAACTTCATGCTCATCATAGACTTATTTGATGAATAGAAATCCAACGACATATTTCTTACCAGTAATAAGTGGACAAACTTCAAGGATTAGAAAATTTATTTGTGAGGTAGACACAGCATGTTCTTGAAAGATTCTGAGTATTTTGCTAGATCAGCTAATATATTTAAAGAATTCTAATTTTATTCTTAGAGTCGATGATATCATTGAAGAATTAGGAATAGAGAGTGATGCTGATTATCAACATATTGTGTTTTGTACGAGCGATTTCCCAAATCGATATTAACCTGCTGAGTCTTGACATGAACTAGTGTCAAGATTCATGAGATGATACTCTACGAAATCAAACTATAAAGTCTTATTTAAACGATTAAAAAAATGAATAGTAGAAAAAAAATCATTGATCGTTTCTGTTTAATGTGTCATATACGATCTGAAAAGTCGAGTCAGTTTTAAGCAGACGACTATGATAATGCTGGCAGATAACGCACCATTAGACATACATCAAAATTAAAACAAACTAGTTTTGATTTTAGTATGCTTTTGATATGGCTTTTCGTATTGTTTGTTTTTTGATGTTATAGTTTTGAAAGGAGAATGTTGAGAGTGAATATTGATGTAGAAGTCGGTGAGATTCATCTCCTTACTCACATCACTATTTATACCGATGGCTAGACGCATACATTCCAGAACCATCTTCACCTACACCAATCTCCAATTCATATTTGTCTAATATCTAAATTGAATATAAACTATTGTTGTTCTATGAAAGCTGTCTTTTGAATTCTTCGAAGGACAACCATCCGTTAACCAACGGTTTTTAGCCGATCCAAACAACATGGGATAAAATTTATTATATTAGATAATATGAGTGAGACATCACGTTCTTACTCACACTATCGCATATATTAGATTTCATCCGTTTTAAATATCGCATTGTCAACATATAAATTTCTCAAAAAAATATTTACACCTAATCTCAAGTTTTATGTAAAAACCCAAATATTTTGAAAAACTGATATGTTGACAATGCGATATGCAACAGGAATGAAATTTCATATATGTCATGATTCAAGTGAAACCTTCATATATACAAAGTTGAAACTCGAAATTCAAAAATATGTTTTTTATCAAAATTACTCGGCAAGAAGGAGAACGACAAAAAGCAATTATCTTGCATGCATCCCAGTTAGTTGAGGAAACGCTGTTCTGCCGTTAAAACGATGTTTAATATCACATTGTTTAAACGATGGTATATTGACAAAATTACGCGTTTATCATAAAAAACGATTTTGTATGTCATAAAGTAATATTATGTTCTTGTCGTTTAAAATTCGAATTGTAAATGTCATAAATAGTGATTCGTTGACGTTAAAACCATAATTTTTTATTATTTCATCTGTCGTAAACGATTCTTTACTTGAAAAAAAGGTTTAATATTCAAGAATCATCTTCGTCTTACTTGTAACTTGACTATTCATCTAATTTTATTAATTTGATGATGGACAATACACGTTCGTTCTTTTTCTCAATATCTCAATACATTCCAATGAGTAGGTCTCATTTTGTTTTCGAAAAAGCATAAGTTAAATCTTTAATAAGTTAAAATATTTATTTAAAGAAATGAAAATTCGGCATCTATATAACATAAGACATGAGTAGAAGTCTTTTCTACAAACTTTTCTTTTTGTTTTGATATTTGTTCAAAAGACTTCTATTAATGCCTTATGTTTTAAAGATGCATGAACTTTCATTTCTTTAAATAAATATTTTGTTAGAAATTTAACTTCTGTTTTTTCGAAAACAAAATGAGACCTACTCATTAGGATGCATTTAGATATTACAAAAACCTGACTACATTCTTTCTTCTGACACATCGATCGTTTTTTAAAGTTTTTCTTTCTATACTCTTCGTAGGTAATTAGAAATTTGTCGATCGCTCAAGGATGATGCGTTTGTCTTACATTCGATAAATATTCTATCGAAATCTTCTCAAGTCTAGTTTATTCTAATATCTATGGAGAAATATATAATTAGTTACAAAGTTGTGATTTATGATAAACTCGATGAATAATGAAAGAAGAATCTAAATTAGTTTATTAATATCAGATATGTGTGTGATAATGAAACTTAGATTTTTAAGACGAATTAATGAATTGATACGACAAACGAAAAATTCTAGGGGAAAAATACCATAGATAAAACGATGTCAATTTTTTGGTATATTTTATCAAAAGAAAATATTGAACAACAACACTATTGACGTACTTCTAAAATTTATTCTTTGTTGAGGCTATTCTTTTCTCATTCTTTAACAGTCGTCTTTGGTAGATAAAAAATAATTTATTGCTACAAAAGTTAATAGAGCAGCTAAGTTTTTTATTTGATTACTGTAATCTTTATAACTTACACATATTTATCATCTATCTGTTCTTTTAAGATTTATACTGAAAACGGAATATATACTCAGCATTATATTCTTTTTATGGTATAAGAGTTAAAAAATTAAAGTTTCTTCGCGTAAGAGTTTCAATCGACAACGAAATCAGTAAAATAACAAGTTCTAAAATGAAATCATTAATGAAACTAAGCTATTTAACATTTTTTTAACTGATTTATTAAGATCAATCAGTGTGACGTTTCGTTCGTTCTAACTAAGAACATTATCAAACACAAATAAATAGACAGAAGAAGAATATATATAAGAGTAAAATAGTGTCTTCGTTTTTCTATTCTATTGTTTTAAACATTCTAATGCAGACGGATCAATTTTACTCCCCCTCGTGCATTGAAATGCTTAAAACAATAGAATAAAAAACGAAGACATTATTTTACTCTTATATATATATTCTTCTTCTGTCTATTTATTTGTGTTTGATAATGTTCTTAGTTAGAACGAAACGTCACACTGATTGATCTTAAGAAATCAGTTGAAAAAAATGTTAAATAGCTTAGTTTCACTAATGATTTTATTATGGAATGTAGTGCTACCAAATGACAAATAAGTTCTATATTATATATTTTTTCTACGAATATCGTATTTTGTCAACTATCTCGACAGAATGTATAAGACAGTTTTCCACAAATACTATCCTAAGAAAAAGCAAAAATAAACGCAGAATGTAAGGTGAAACTAAATCCTCTACATCGTTCAATTCTGAAGACTTCTTCTATTAGAGTTATCTGAATCTTTTTGCTCAGATTTTCTAAGCTCGACCAACGGTCAATGAGAATCCTTATTCACAATTTGTATAGAGTAAATATGTGAATTTCTTCGTAATCTGAATTGTATTTTAGATTAAATTCAGATATCATTCATGTATCTTATCTTTGTGTGCATTGACATCGCTCGTAGAAGTGATGTTTACTTATTGAGCAATCTTCATCGAATGAATGTGCTGAACGAATTTATTTTCTTTTTTTGTCCTTCTCTAACGTTATTCTTTTTTCCTTTCTTTTCTTTCCTATCTCTCCAATTTGATTAAGACTAACAATCAATTACTAAGCATATGAGATCCGTTCTGTTTATGCCACATATATTTGTCGAATATATATTAACTGAAAATATTACTCTCTTTTGACTTGGCTAGAGTTTCTAATTCGATTCTGTAGCTCATAATTAATAATGTTGTATTGCTTGTCATAAAACGAGTTTCAATTAGCTCATATACTGATGAGTTGATAATTTGTAATGAAAACTCTAATGCAGCAATTTTATGTTTGAGAATATTAGGAACTTATAATTTATCGTTACGTTTCGAGCTTTGAACATAATCAAAAAATTCGGATTTCAATGTGAAA